TTTTTTGGTCTTTTTGAGACAGGGTCTCCCTATAGCCCCGGCTGTCCTGGAACTCACTATGTAGACCAGGTTGGCCTTGAACTCACAGAGATCCGCCTGCCTCTGCCTCCCGAGTGCTGGGATTAAAGGCAACGCCCGGCTGGGTTCTTGCTTTTTACAACTGAACGCAACCAGGTCCTCATAGACTGTTGCTGAGAGGGATTGCCCTACTTTGACTATAGGCTGTTTCTCACCAGTCACCAGAGTTGGGAGAAATGGCATTAGTGCAGTGTCCAGGCCCAAGCCTAGTTGCTTCCACTTCTGATTTCTTGAAACTTGTCACAGTCCCAAGCAGCCATGGAAAAATCCAGTCATGTGAGGCCACTATGGGGTAAGTGTGGAAGCCCATCCCAGTGAGGAGAGGGGCTCAACTGGGTCTCAGCAGTTCCAGCCCTGAGCCACCAGCCCAACAGAGATAACACAGGCCAGGTGAGCAATCCCTAAGCATCCTGTCTTTTTCTTTGTAATATCTATTGTGATTTGTTTCTTTCTTCATTCATTAACCATCTTCAATATGAATGGTATGAAGAGAAGGTCACTCTATCCCAGAACAGAAATCATTTAAAAAGCTGAAAAGGATGCTGGGCATGGTGGCGCATGCCTGTAGTCCCAGCACCTGGGAGGCAGAGGCAGGCGGATCTCTGAGTTCAAGGCCAGCCTGGTCTACATAGTGAGTTCCAGGACAGCTGGGCCTACAGGGAGACCCTACTTCAAAAAGACAAAAAAAAAAAAAAGCTGAAAAGGGAGCCAACAAGTTGGCTCACTGGATAAAGGCACCTGCCGCCAAGTCTGAGGACACAAGTTTGGTCCCCAGAACCCATATGGTGGAAGGAGAGAACTGACTCCCATAAGTTATCTTCTGACCTCCAAAGTGGGCTGTGATGTGTGCCCCCACACGAACCCCCAACTTGTGCAAAAATAAATAAATGAAATTACGGAGAGGAGGAGGGGATAGACGGGTGATAGGCAGGTGGGGGTAAGAGTGGTCAGTATTGTGCACAGGTGGGAAAACAAATTTTATAAAGTAACAAAAGAATATATATGAAAAATTTGAAAATTTAAGACTTTAGTCTCTTTTCCCATTTTGGCTTTAGTTGTTGATTTTGAGACAGCCATAGAAAGTTAACTATGTCCTCATGTTAGGGAACACCAGAAGAGGCTCAGCCTGTGAAGACAGAGCCACACAGCAGCAAAGCCATTCCTAAAGGCAGCCTTCTGTTACTGTAACAAATGCCTATAATAGATGTACTTAAAAAGAAGAAATGTTTTTCTTTCTCTTTTGGAGAGTTCAGCCCTTGATCCCTTAGCCTTGCTGCTTTGGGCCTGTAGTATGCTGTAGTAATGCAGCATATCATGGTTAAACGGTTTCATGGAGGAAAAATGCTCACCTCCTGACTTACCTCAGTGCTGAAAAGAAAAAAAGAGATGGGATGTCCACAGTCCCCTTCAAGGACACACCTCCCAGCAGCCCTCCCTATTCATAAAGAGAAACAGAACAAAGTGGACGACCTCCACTCACCTGGTGAAATCACAGGAGCAGAAAACTTTCTCTGATGATACAGAGATCAAGGAGGAAGTTAGAAGGGGGAAGCTGTTGTGTTGCTATTTCCTCCAAATAGAAACTTTCCATCCTGTGAGAGTAGAGAGGCTCACAAGATTGAAGAAGCTCAGGAAACTTATAAGACTCAGGAAGCTCAGAAAGTTACAAGACTCACAGGAACTCTCCCCAGAATTACTAAAGCAGTGAACAATTCCTGGGAAGATCCCTCTTTCCCTAGAACTGCAGTCTGTGCAGGGATCTGG